CTTTAAGTATTCGGAGGGTAACTATTTACTTTGTTTTGAAATGCAATTAAAACCATCTTATTATCCTATGTAGCAGCACTTTTATAGAGTGAAAAAATACGGTTACCCCTATTCTCGACAATGTTGTAGCATCCTTAATGTACTTTTTAATTATCTTTTTTCGATGCGTATGAGAGCTATTGAAAATATTTAGTGGCTAACTTCCTCGTATTTTTAATTAGCATTCTAACTTCCTCAATGGAAATACAGGCCTCTGAGATCGCTATTTTGTGAACTTCCATCTCGCTGCAGATACTTGTGTTTTTTTCCCTTTGTGCTGGTTTTGCCTTCTTCATTTTCACATTTTCTTCAATCTCTCTCTCTGTCTCTTTCATTTATGTATTGATTGGCTCTTTATTCACGAGTTACTAACTATGAGCTACAACTCATTTTTCACTGTAGCTATAGAAATTAACTCAATAAAATACGTTTCGTCAAAAATTGTACATCCATACTATTTACATATGGCAAAAAGTGCACAAATCTTCAACTAGTGGCATAACAACCGTAGCTACTTTCTCAAACTTTTTGTAGCGTTTTTGCATTATAATATAGCAATTTGTATCTTAATATTACCGTACTTCACTCATATTCTGAAAATAACTTCACCAAACGAAGGGCAGAATATTCGAAAAAGCACAGGATTTACATGCACACATTTGACGACGGTTTTTGAGAAAATATTTTTCACGTATTATTGGGAAACTTTACCATGTTCACTCGAATTTTTGCGGACAATTCGTATATTTTGAGAAATTTATCTAACTTTAAGTCTGTAATTTTGAAGAATAGATTTCATTAAGAAAAAACATTTTGTTTAATAAAGTAGCTCTAAAAATGTGTCGAAAAAACGTTTACTTTCGCACCTCTAGAAATTTTAAGGAAAATTGGAATTATGATAGTTTATAATTAAAGGCGCCATCCTATTTCAGCAAAAACGTTGAAGAACAAAATTGATCGCGATTAGAAAATTAGTTCATGTACGTATTTGGTTAAAAAATCATGATTTCACTTAAAATTTCAAAATTTCTACTCATACTTTCAAAAACACAGTACGTGACATCATTTAAAGAACAGATTTCATTAAAAAAATAATTCTTAGATACTGTAAATGTAGTAGGGGGGGCAAACGAATTCTAAACGTTTGGTATTTTGGAAATTTCAGAAGGTTTAACAATAATCGAATATGATAAATCGAAAGTGTCGATTTTTCTATGAAAAAACACCCCAAAAATTGTTTTTTCTCTACGGATAAAGTTACTGTCTCGACTTCGTGGTGTAGACATAATTCATATTTATTGGTTTCACTATAAACAAAAGTTCAAGTCTTTTCAAGGTCAATCTCCATCGCCGTAAACAACAGTATCGTCTGAATTATACACAGGATTGTCACCATAATTGATATTTCCCATTCCATCGGGCTGATGTCATAAACCCTAAGCGTTGCTTGAAGCTCGTTAGCGAGTTGGTTTTCTGGATTAGTTTGTTACTTGATGAACATAGGTGCGGGATTGAGAATCCTTTCCCGGGCTATATTAAGCATACGTTATAAATGATTTTCATGGTATGTGGTGTCGCAGTACTACTAGTTTATTTTTACTCTTCAGCTTTGATTGAGTCAGAACGTGTATTATTGTTATCACGCACGCATCAAAGCTTATTGCCGTCATATAGAGAGTTTTTTGTAGTCAAATATGAAAAATATAGATAACGAAACTCAATATTGTCATTGCCAGTAGATAAATCGTCTCTGAAATTTAGTATAGTTGCCAGCATCAATATGAATTGTTCACCAATAAAGGGTTCCATTTCAATTAATTAATTAATTAATCCCGTAATTTGATATTTCTTACCACAATTTCCACAAAACCAGCAATTTCTCATACATCAATGTTGAGCAGCATACTTGAAAAAAGTGATAATCTTCGAACCCTCTACATGCTTTAGAAGTTTGCAACATTTGTTCAAAATAAGCTGTGTATTTACAACATACATCTCGGAATCTGAACTTAAACTTCTCCTTTAATGCGGCGGACGTGATACAACCGCGCGTCCAGAGCTAAAGTGGCGGGCTTGTCGCACGCAGCGTCTCTTTTCAGGCGAATTCTGTACGCAAACTTCTCATCTGCTGCCATTATAAATTGCACGACTTGTCATAGAGTTGCTTGTTTGCTTCGCAAAACAACAGACAGAAGAGGAGGGTTCGTTTTCATGGCGTGCAGAGAACGTTTGTTAAGCGCGTCAGGGCCGTGGAGAATTTAACATGAACCCGTCCGAATGAGTTGTTTTGTTGGGTTTTACCAGAAAAAGTACCATTTTCACCACTTAAGTATTACTGATGTGTGCATTCCAAAACAAGAGGGAGGCAAATATTATTTTGGGACCCTCTGTGTCCTATATTTCATGAACCATTTTTATTTATCCATAGCATACTTTTTTAGTAAATAAATAATTTACTACGTATATAAGGATAATAAAATTATAAATTTAAGGATACAATTAACAAAATTGATTTGATGTTGAATCATTCATGGGCTTTACAAATGGCTTAAAAAACATCTTTTTTAAATGTCATTTGTCAATTCCCCAAAGTATCAATTAAAATAAAAGGAGACACTCAGGAGTTGATATTTGCGGAAATAAAATTATTCATTACGTAGGGCTACGAGGCTCTTTCGGAGGATTTCCGGAGGGCTATGGCCCCTGTTAGCAGGTCTATGGAAAGTAGACATTCACTATTAAAATGTTCAGTGTTCCTATCAGTGATGTAATACTGTAGTAAACATAATAAAAGCAAAGGGAACTTTAAAGATTGTTCAAATATTACCTAGACCCCTACAATGTCATATTTTCCCAGGAATTGCAAAGGGAAGGCCTTTTTTCTTATATTCCGTCATTTTGGATACAATTTTAAAATCCTAATTGAAGTTTAAAATAAAAAAAAGATTTTTGCCTTTTTTAAGTCAATTTACCCAGAGTAGTTCGTACTAATGAAAAATATATGTTTTTAATTTCTTATATAAGTTTAAATATTTTTAACAAATTATGCAAACGAGTATTGACATTTTGCGATTTTCTATAGATGATATAGATGTTTCGATAATTTTTTTAGGACTTTATATCCGATTTTGACCCTTACAATCAACAAAAACAAAAGAAAATAGAAAAAATACTTTCTTTCACTTTTTACTCTTCAATTACGATTTTTAATATAAACAATGTTTTGCCTATCTTACTACACTATATCAATCGTAGAAAATATATTAACTTAAAATAAATTTATCAATCACATTTAAACAAAGTTTTACCGTATAATTATTGCATCTTCGAACATTTACTCTGGCAATTTACTTAACACTACTTTTAAATTAAAATATTTTAAAAAATCTAGATAAAGTATTAAAGAATTTTAACAAAATTCAATTTACAATAAGAGTACCAACCTTTAAGAAGAAAAACTGCAGTTCCAGAGTAAATGTTTATTACATTATGTTTGATGTGAACGACATATATGTGTTATTTGAAACACGAAGATTTGACATATATTTGGTTTTTGGCATTATTATATAATTATTTTGAATTCCATCATTCTCAAAGATATAAGAATTTATGCCAAGTTCACAATCTGCTGTTGTTATTGAACGTTTGCTAGGTAAATTTCCCTCAGGTAGTCTGTCACTCCCAGCACCATAACGGACCAGTGCACAATGCCTTCATTGACGTAGTATCAGAAACATGACAATAACACCCCTTTGCTGCAGATTCCCCACTATTCCCAGAAGTAATTTATACGGCACATTGTTGCAAGGAAACGGAAAAGAGTCTTGTCAGCCAAATCCCCAGGTACGGCCAGGTACAATCAGTGCAATGCACACAATGTACAGCTGAACAAATATTTCAATATCTTGTTGATTATATGTTTAGGCGTATGCAATTTTTTTTATAAAAGCAAGAAGCTGAATACTATAAACATAATTCAACATTGTATATTTTAATAGTTTTGTAAACATTTTGACTTGTTGTCTGATATAAATTAAACTTCGAAGAGGCATTATTGGATGAAAGTACAGAATGTGTATAAAATAAAAATGTTTTGAAAGTGAGACTTGTAATTTATCGACAAGGCCTATCTACTAAATTTATAATTTAATTATTATTGGAAAACTAAACAAACAACTGTGTGCTGCACGACGACCTATCGATGGTCAGATTTTAAAACTTCATCACATTTCTCGGAAACATCATATTTAAATGCATTTAAAGTCACTAAACAATTGCCTACTATGTGTTAAAATTTCACAAGTTTATTCTCACAATAAAGGGAACAAACAATATTTTCTATTAAATTGTAACTCTATTCAAGAGAGCAAGGGAGCTTTCGAAATTATACAAACTCTCATGTCCGACTTACGACTTAATAACAAACTAATTAAAAATCATTAAATGGGAATACAAATGTCATAAATTCATATTCTGTGTACTTTTATAAGTGAAAAGGAATCCTCTGTGGAACAAACAATAAATAGGAAGAAATACATTGTCCTTCAAGTTGTTTTTTAAGCGTTCCCGTAAAATTACTCAAAACTAAGTTACATGGTAGCTACTTGGCTGCCCACGGGACGCCGTGTCCTCGGCACAGGCGCCAACGTTTTTCGGCCACCATTCTGCGACCTTTCTCAGGACGAAATGCGAGGAAGGCCGCGGAATGGCAGCAGAAAAGTTGGCACCCGTGCCTAGGAGGCGGCGTCTCCCGGGCAGACAAGTAGCTACTCCCTCCTGCCGCGGAAGCCTACGCTCTGAGTGACGTGGATTTAAAATCTGACCCTTTCCGTCGCGCCATCGTGCACCGCGCGTGCTCATTGGCCGTCTCCCGGGAGATGCCGCACGCGCCATCCTTCTCCTTCCAACGGAGGGACCTGTTGCAGGGGTCGCTGGGCGCGGCGCGCGCTCGCTCGCTCACCTGGCCAGCCCGGCTCGCCCTTGAGGCCGCGGGGGCCCGACTCGCCCGGGACCCCCGGCGGGCCTCGCAGCCCCACGTCGCCCGGGAAGCCCCGGTCGCCGCGGTCGCCCTTGGGGCCCGACGAGCCGCGCAGCCCCGGCGTGCCCTGGGGGCCCACGGACCCCGGCGGCCCGGGCGGGCAGTACTCGCGCGTCGCCGAGCAGAAGCCCTGGATGGCCGCCAGCTGCAACACGCAAGCCCTGCCGTCACGCAATGCTCCACCCACAGTTAGTGGTAATTGCACATTTAGTTGTAATAATTGTTGTATTTGTTACATTGTTGTAATTTTTACATTATTGTAACTGTTACATTGTTGTAACTGTTACATTGTTGTAACTGTTACATTGTTGTAACTGTTACATTGTTGTAATTGCACATTGCAAATTTAGTTGTAATAATTGTTGTAATTGTTACGTTGTTGTAATTGTTACATTGATGTAATTGCACATTTAGTTATAATTGCACATTGCACATTTAGTTGTAATAATTGTTGTAATTGTTAGTTGTAAGGGCTCAGTAGAACATGGTGCTATCAAACATTGAACCAATTCGGAGATATTAGGGGTTTTACTAGGTATTTCATAATACAACTCGTTACACCTGTACACTTTTAAACACGTACACTTGCATGTAAGTCAATTTAGGATTTAAGTAACATATTACATTACAATAAAAATATTGAAATTTTATTTAATGCCAATATCTTAATATCACAAAAAATGTGGGATAGTTCCTTGTCATAGTCAGCCGTTCAATTTAAAAAATAATAATAACTAGCTGTGCCTGTGAGATTACATCTCAGAAAAGAAAATGCTGTAGAAAAATTACAACAGAAAAATAATGGCTTAGTTCACAAACATGTACGTTCTCATGGTCATTTTTTAGATAATATCGTTTTTGTAGACCTCTCATTCATATCTACCTAGCACGCCAAGATTGTATATCCATGTAACAGAGATTATACGTGCGTGATCTTGGCTAGCCGAGTGACCATGCATACCAGCCCTGAGGAAGACCACGACAGGATGGTCAGAACTTCGGCAACAAAGCCTTCGACGCGGCGTCACCCGGACAGCCCAGATCACCCACATGACTCTGGCCGCGGAAGCCAACGACTTTAGAGATCATACTTTTCTCCCAGAAGTAAACATTGTCACTCCATAAGTAACTGCACCTTTACAAACTTTCAAACTTTTCTTATATAACAGAATGATATTCACTGTAAACACAAAAAATAACACAAATGGTTTTTTTTTTCATCAACGTCTTTAATTGTACGTGGATATAGTAGCTAGTTAAAAAAGGAAAACTATCTACTTTAACTTAAATATATAACAGAGTCCATAGATAAACACAAAATCTTTTTGTACATGTATACGTGACAGACATCTAGGTACTATCATTAATAGAAGAAATGACACTTATTGATCATTGAATGAGACCCGTACATTAAATAAGAGGTGATAGATATCTTACATACATGTGTTTCAACCCCGTTCATTGTATGATATATACGATTTTCCAGGTGTACTCTATTCTTTAATCTGCAAATTAATATCATAAATCTATACGTATTTTGACTATTTTTTCTTGTGGTTACGCTATTTTAGGGGTATTGCAGTACGAACTCAACAAAAAATGTTGAGATGGATGTACTAAATTAGCTACACACTGTACAGATAATTTCATGAAAAGATGGCGCTAGTTCTTCGATACCAAGTTGGATGTCAAGCATCAACTATTTTTTTCTGATGGTAATAGTAAATATTCCATTAATGAAACTATAACATTAATTGGTCTGACGGTTTTCTTATCATTTTGAGGAAAAATTGGCAAATTAAGTTTTGCAAAGCCTTTCAAGGCTTTAAAATTTAAAATGATTCTTATTCAGCACAATTGATAAATGATAAGGGTGTCACATATATTCCCTCACACTCCTTTCAATTACTAGAGAGGCAATATTATTCAACAGTTACACAAATCTCTCTCTTGTCAATCCACGTGAGCAACATAGTCATATAATGAAATGATATCGTGAGAAATTAGTCATATGTATTCCCAAATAACGCTCAATTATGAAGAACTCTCAATTATTCAAAGACAATGCACAATTGACGAACGATTAAAATTATTATTTCTAACGTACGCAGGAATTGGAAGGGAGCAAATAGCCTCCAGCAACGTGAGTGGTATTTATGATTTATTTTCATACCCAAGAACTCAGAAATGTACAAAAACAATTGAATAGTTTCGATGACGACTGGAAAATGCAAAAATTTGATGGTATTACTCCGCTAATATTCATACTGAGCGTACTGCCGACTTAATTCTCATACTGGGTGTGTCCCTGCTTGCAATGTTGACGTCATGCGACATTAAGAGTCTAAGGAAATGGCTGCCCGCCACTGAATGTATGCGATTCAGAAGTTGCGCTTTGAAATAGCGACTATTTAAAAAAACTTTCTTAGTATGTAAAGAACGGTTGCACTGTGTATCGGAATATTTCGTGCTGTGCAGTAGTATTGAATGTAGTAATGCAGTGAATTGTAGTATTTTGTTAAAATATTTAATTTATCGTTAATTACATATTAATTACGAGGATGTTTTATTTATTATTCTTGAGAATTGGATGGATATTTTATTGAAAATTATTTTGTGTGCTTTTGTTCAGCAGCAAGTAATTTTTTTCTGCTACAGGCCACTAGTTACTAACATTTCTATAATTTTATCAAAATACACGGGCACAAAGCTTTAAGTTGTAATTGAATATTCATATCTATTCATAAGCAATGTTCAACAACATAAAATAAATTCTTTAATTCTTGCTTCAAATGTGTAATATTAAAGCAAGGGCATTTCCTGATTTCATTTTTACTTCTCCATATTTGTTGAAACCATGATTCATAATTTAACTATTTATAGTAAGTAGGAAAAGAGTGTCGTTAGAACTCTGGAGCTCAAGAAAAAGGGCAGAAATTATACTTCTCCAATTCGTTGTTTTAAACACATCAAATCTCCAGTGCTCTGAGAGGTCTCTCTCATTCCGACAGAGATCTGAAGGCTCTCTCATTCCAACAGCAATGCTCTGAGAGCTCTCTCTCATTCCGACAGTGATCTGCAAGCTTTCTCATTCCAACAACAGTGCTCTGAGAGCTCTCTCTCATTTCAACGACAATGCTTTGTGCGCTCTCTTGTATTCCAACGACAGTGATCTCTCTCATTCCAAAGCGAAGCTTTGTGTGCTCTCTCTCATACCGGCACACCGGCTTTTGCATTCAGTTTATTATTAATCAAGGGCTTTCAGGAAAAAATCATCACAGTATTAAAAAACTTTGTGCGCGCTTCAGATATAGAAGTGGCGAATGCCACAATTGAAACCGATCATCAGTCAGGTTGGGATCGCTCCCGTGATCAGGGGATAAGCAGATTTATCAGAGCTAGGGTGCAAAGTGTAAATTCATTGTAAATATATGTTGTGTTTTCCTTGGAAATAAATATTTGTTATATGAAAGCTCTGTGACAGTGTTCGCTGTGACAGAGGCGTCACATATGCAATAAAGCATCGAGAGTTTGTACTCAACGTTTATTGAACTCCATATCTCACAGTTTTTAATTGTTTATAAATATATACATAAATATTTAATTCATGGGCTTAACAAGCCTAAGCTTCACATATTGCACTACCTCACCGCTATCTGCTGATCGTTTCATTTAAGTAGAGGCTCTTAGAGATCATTGCCATGCAGCATTTTCAAACGTTTTATACACACTTGTGTTTTTAGCTTAACAATTTAAATAAAATCCACTGATAGTCTCTTCCCCACGGTGCAACATGTCTGTCAGCCCTCCATTGTTAAGTGACGTATTTGTGACAGAAAAAAATTCTGTTTTTAGATTCGTTTGACTTATTTGAAATCGGGCCCGGGCTATCGAAAACTAATAACATATATAACTATTTCCCCCAGAAGTTTCAAACAGTTTTCACTGTTACTTGACGGTACAACATGAAACAAGAGAGTATCACATCATAATACGCACCTAAATATCTAGATAAAACAATTCCAGCTGTAGTTTTCACACGAAGATATAAAAGGACATTGTTTCATTTAATCAGTCACTATTAAAGTAAAATTACATCTTATAAAATTCAGCAAGAAAATCGTGAAACACTCAAAATAAATTAGAAGAATTTCGAAGGTCCAGATTGTACAATACCAAATCCAAACTTACAGGAAATCAATGTTCATATAATCACTCAAAACATGTTACCCACAGTCTCGATAGCTTAATATCCTGCAAACAAAAATGTAGGTAAGACATTTACTTATCGAGTTCGATTCGAAGATCTATCTAGTCTGATCGAGCACTTCACTACAAAATAAAGGTTTACATGAAAATATACTTTTATTTGTCACATGGCGAGGAAGCGCCACGAACTGCCATTGACGCACAGCACGTTCCGTCGACCCGGCCTCTAATTTCCTTCCCTTGTTTCATTACACGGCACCTGCCTGTCACGATGCGCTCGTAAACAAGTCGACCAGAGAGCATCAATCCACTGCCCGATGGATAACATTAATATGTACCAAAGAGCGTGCGCGATGCATGTAATTTTCAGAGCTTTTCAGCCTCGCTAAAAACGAAAAGCTTTAATCTGCAATTTCAGCCACCTACGATTTAAGCCGACTGCATAATTCATGGGCGATGAGAAGATTACCCCCAGCGCCGGCCTGACATTACACTGATGAACGACCCCGGTGACATCCACATGGCGCGGTGCAAGGCCGGTGACAAAAGGATAATTCTGATCGCAGTGCGGAGCACGGGGCCCGATTGCATGGAGGCGACAATGTGCACGGCCTGAGATACGAATTATAGATTTTCATCTTTTCATTCATAATTGTCGGTGTTCCGGTGTTTGCAAAAAACAAAATATCAACAAAAACACCTTCCCCCTTCGCCCGTACCCTATCCACCAATTGACGCTGTGATATTCGACAAAAAAGCGGAGAGTGTTGAAACTGATCGGTTGTATATCAAACTGCATCATTACGCCAATGGCGAGTATAGTGTTTCATGCAACTCTCTACGGAAATACTACGGAGTTTGGCAGTTGCTCGATGCCTGTTCAGGAATATTCGAAGACGAAGCAGAACAAAAGCTTCTGTTTGAAATATTGAACGT